AAAGCGGATTTTGGGGAAACTGCATTATTATTTTTTATTAAACCCGAATTGTCCATAGCAGTTGACCATGCAGCGAACACAAGGCACGATTAATAGGCATCCAGAAACGCTTTCCTTTAAAGGTCTCGGTATTTAATGCCAGTGACTCACCGGACAAGCTGGCCGTTCCATTAAGCGAGCCCGCAGCTCTGCTTCGGCGTCAATACTTGTAATGGTGCAATAATGGGTGCTGCTTTTCGGTAACGCTGCACTTGAGTCAATCGGCTACTGGGGGAATTGCACGTCTCGTCGTTGCTTTTGCCGCATCGCGCAAATGCTGCCGCGGAACGGAAACGCCGTCATCTCCAGGCGTTGGTACTTGGTGTGCCGCACCTTCATGCGTTTACAATACAGTTCTTGCTATTACTGTCAAGTGATAGCAGTTTTCTTGGCATTGCTTTGCCATCATGGGATTATGATATGGGATTGTCTGTATGACAAAGCACTTCTCAGTACAGGCATTTGCCTAATGATGCAGTAGCCTTGCCGACTTAGATGGATCTCCATATATGTTGCCACTGATTTGAACAGGGATGTATGTGCAGGATCCTACGTTATGAACCAGCAAACTGCGTTTGATCCCCCGACCATGGCTAACATCACCAGCAAATGATAACCGAGTCGGTCCATGAGCTCCCTCTCCCTGTACCAGTCGACACTGGCTAGCATGATGAAGTGTAGACAACCTCGAAGACTGGTTTGGTGTGGGGCATGTCTTCATTCAGCAATAAATTGACAAAGGGCTATAATCTATTATTGTTATGTAGGATTGCATACATTCCTGCCAATAGGTATTGCAACGGCAGTGTGGTATTGCAGTCACCTATGTCACCCAAACGCTTGTAACGGTTCACACTCCCAACGATTTAAGGAATTCCCACAATTTGTATTAAAAATATTATTTGTTATCATCTAATTTTGACCACCCCCACCTCTATTGTTTTCTTTTGTCCTGTTTCAATATCTCAGAATCGTTCACACCACCAGCCGATACGTTACAGTGACCTACAATTGGCATTGATCGTAATTAAATAATCGATCAATTAATCAACGAATGTGACACGTCGCCCGGCACCAGGGGCCAGTGGTCGCGTCTGGAGAACAGTGCAAATGATGGAAAGTGGCACGCGCAGTCATCGGGAGAGCCGGTCGGACAGCCGTGACAAAATGGAAGGTGCAACGCAAACACCCATGTGGCTGCTGCTCTGGGGAGTGCTGCTCGATCGTGCGTTCTGGACCTCCTTCATCACGGGGCGGGGGGGGCAGTGCGACTCCCGACTGTATCACCATGTGTGGTGCATGCTGGGAGCTGCTCCATATTAACTTAACCCTTTCCCGTTCCGGTACGTCATCAGTTTTTCTTCCGATGCTGTTGCCGATGACGTATGTGTACATCAAGAAAACGAAACCGTAAGAAAAATTGAAATAAAATAACTTTATCGGTTCCGAGGCTCCCACAAGGCCATTGGGGAGGGAGTGTGGCACAGTTTGGCGTCAGCTATCGTAGAGTGCGGTCGTGTCGGTTCAGTTCTCTGCGATGAGTACAATGTAATTAAAAACACCGACACTACGCCTCTCTAAATAAAATGAATGCAGAGCCGCTTACGCGTTCCGAGATTCAGCGGTGAATGGAACTCGCCCTGCAACTTGCAGACGTATCGGAATGGGAAAGGGTTAGCACCTGGGATTACGCGGGCCATTCTAATGATTCATGATTGATATTTGGGTTAGACCACGTCACGATCTGGCCTTATTTGTGTCGTTAAGACCCTCCACCACCCGATGCATTCAAGTAAATTAAATTATCGCATGTGACAAGTGTTTAACACGCTAATCATTATAGTTGCAACTCACTGGTAGCTCAAAGAACAATTCTCACAGACACATTTTGCATCTAGGTACAATGTTTTACTTGAAACTGCATCTCATGTCATTAGGACAATATCCAGGAAGTGGGAATTATAATCCATGAGTTGGAATGCTTTTGTCTTTGAAGCCCAACGCACAGCGAGGAATTTGAAGACACTCGTGGTGGATGCACTTTTCTGTAGCTCTCGGCTGGATTTGAGACGGGATCAGCAGGTTTCATTTCCACAGAATTAGATTTTCCATGGATCGATTTTCTTGGATAATGGTGGAAAAGAGGACCCAATTCTTTGTTCGGTTGCATTTTCTGATAGCCCTGAACCGATTAGCACGGTTGGCTATGTACAGTGTGAAAGAAGGTCAACATGCGTACAGAATATGAATATTTACATACATATGCCCTCAGTCTGCTACCTACAGTCATATGATATCAAACGGCCTCACATGATTGGCTGCACATATTCCCCAGTGGCATTTGGACAATGGCCCGAAAACTTGCATCGAGGTTAATTTGTCTTTTCTCGACACAATTTACCCATTTCTCTGCATATATATTGTATCTGAGCACCAGTTACATCCAATTTGTGCCACGAGATGTCACCAGAGAAGAAAGGTGAGATAATAAACCTGAGAGAAGAAAGATGATGCCAACAAAATACTCCCTGGTCGCTGTAAGAGTCCTCTTAGATCCACACTAAACAGATGCGCTTGCTCTGTGATGAGTGGTTAACTTCAAGCCAATAAATCGACTTAGTGTGAGCAGATGAAATCCCAAAATAGATTTTAATGAGGATGTTTGCTCTGTCATTGGTAATTTGGCTGCGAAACATCGTCTCAGCACTCTTGAGAACTTGGTTGAGCCGCGGGTGCTCTCTGTATTCGAACCCAAGGTCTTCAGCGGTATTGGTTCCATTTTCAAGACAGGCGTTATGAGCCTTATTAGCCACACGTTGAACGGTTTACGTAGTCAACCGTGCCAATCGGAGGTGCCAGGGAAGGACAACAAACTAAACAAAAAAGTTTTTGTGTTAACTCGGACCCAGTAGACTTGCTGAACCAGTCGTCTTGCCTTAACCACCAGTCCTGCTTACATCGGGCTGAAATTTCAGTTCCCACTACAGCTGTGTGTGAACTACAGCACGGAGCAAATGTTATCCACCTTCACGGCATCATAATTTACAAGTACAGGGTGTTAATGCTTGGTCCCACTCCAAAATTGTTAGATTATCCACAACCAACATTTTTCACAATGAGTAATTTGTAATTGCACTCACACTGGTCTCAATGTGATTGCATTCATATTATTATGAAACAATGTACCTGGTGATGTGCGCGTCATACATTTAGCACCGTAAGAGCGCAACTCCACAGCAAAGGCACAACGGTGTAATGCACTTAATCCGTGGGGTTTGGAATAGAATGTGTTGCTGCTATTTGATAGAAAGTGTCAAAATCACTGTTATTTTTGGCCGATTGGTTGTTTTCCTGCGAATGGCCGTACTGTTGAATCGGGTCCTCATTGTAGCTGTGGGCTCTTACGCGGGGCTCTGTTATTGAGCCCATCGTTGTCATCGTTTCGCTTTCTGTGACTTCCGTTCGGCCACTCACTTCAATGAGCAATCTCGTTTTTTTGTACCCATAATGCTCCACAACAAAGCATAACAAATCTATACAATCTTGCTTTATGCGTTTAATGAGGCTCAGTAGTTTAGATGGAGTGCTCTTGCCAATAACATCTGGTAACACAGCAGCAAGTATCTGCATTTTGTTTAAAACGTGACTGCTGATGAGACCCAGAAGGTTGAAACTAGTCGGTGGTTTGCTGGCGTAAATGAATGCTGCTAAATAATATTGGTCTGGAAAGGCCAATGGCTCATGACCTATAAAGTAGTTTTATTTTATATGCAGAGATATAGAACTGGAGTTCTGCTCGTATTTGTTTTTTTTATATATATATATGATTTTGTCGTGTGATTGCGATGTCTGTAATACTGTTTGTGGGCCGTTCACTACAAGAGAGGTGGAGAGCTCGGTGCAGGCTGGTGTATTTTAAGAAGTGATTATAAGTGGGCCTTAGACAGCCGCGTCATGCTGTTTTTAAAGCTCTCTCCTCGCAATCAGGAGGGTTGTGAGTAACAGGTGCCAGCCGGGGGTCAACTCGATTCTTCATCCCTCCGTGATCGATAGCGTGAGTCTAACTTCCTGAGAAGTCAATAGAAGGGCCCTCGGCTACACGAGTGGGACATTTGTGTTGCTGGCTCTCCGGGGGTCATCAGCAAACGTATGTGTCATCCGTGCACAGAAGGTGGACTTTTATTTACGTGGGTCATCATCGGTCATGATTAATCCACTGCTTGATATGCACATACCCAATGGATTATAAAAAATTCATAAATCTAAAACTAACAAATATAAACAAATTTTATTTTACCATGTAAGGCCCAATGAGCTTATATAGCTCTTTCTCAGCCCAATGAAGTGGTTCATCACGTGGACATTTATAGCAGCCAAATACTCTAAATGCATGTTGATCTAAATGTGGAGGGAAAAACCGGAGGACCTAGAGAAAAATCCACACGACCACGGGGAGAATGTGCAATCTCCAAATATGCAGGCGGCAGGGTCGGGATCGAATCCACGACCTCCTGTATACCAGAAGAAGTAGTTAACATCTCGACATTGTGGCGCCCCTTTATTTAATTTATGAAACTGATATACTCCCATTGCATCACAATGCCTCTCTGCATAAACGAGCAATGGGGCGGTGCTTTTCTTCATGGACAGCTGTCAACCGCTTGTGGACATTACATATTCCTGTGTCGTGGGCCAATAATGATTCTTCCATTAGTGTTTAACGGACGAGAGCACTTGGGCAATGTCCTTACTTTGTTCAGGAAAGCCTCTTTGAAGGCCCTACTTGGATTCAACGATCAAGTTGCAGCAATTCCCTCCGGTGCAACTGTCAAGCAGGGGGAGTCCGCGGCATAATGCTTGACTCTCGTTCCCGTGTAGTGCTCGCCCACGGTCCCGCGCTCGCCCCGGCTCCGATCACGGCTCTGGGGGTTGATTGGGTTTTTTGGTCGATTCCCTCACAGCTGGTTCCGCAAAAAGCCAGCGCGCCTGGAGGTGAGCGTGCCGATCCCGCCAAGCGCCAGCGTCCCGGATCGCTGGCGGAGCATGACTGTGATGCCCTACCTGGAGGACCTGCACGGTTACCACGGCGACGAGGAAGACAACGAATACTACGAGGACGAAGAGGACGACATCGTCTACAGCATGGAGTTCAACGGCCCAGGTGCATGCACGCACGCGGATACACCGGTATAGATCCCCCATGTGGCTTTTAACAGACTGTTGGGGCAAGTGCTGTTAGCGAGCACCCTATGCGGGCTGGCACGGGACAAAACGGGGGACTGGCACGGGACACGATGGGGTTGGTGGCCAGCACCACGCCCGGCCACCTTTGTCTCCCCAGTGGCAATGTTTACACATCATACTAGGTACTCATTGAAGGCTGAGTCGACCTAGGGCAGGCCCACGACTGGTTCATATATTCGTCACCGGTGTTGGGCATGAGTGGGAATCTAACTTGGGTCGTCAGGTTTTTAGTGCAGTACGCAAACCACTAAACTATCTCTACGCACACATGCACATACCCGCCACCCACCTACGCCCATCCACTCACACGCCATCATTTATTCAAAGTCAAGCTCAGGTGTTTCCTTAGGCAAATAAGGAATGGGAAGGGGAGGAGGCTGACTCTGAAAAGGTTTATGGAGCACCGGGGGAGGGGCACGTGGAATTGTGTGGGACTGAACTGTGACATTTCTTGGGAAAGGTTTTTAAGGCTTAACAGTCAAAGCCAAAACAATGATTGAAGTGGCTGTGATCAGCGTGTTTCACCGTGAGGCTTATTCAGCTGCTGCCCAACAATGGTGATCAGAGTTCCTTGAGACAGCATTGTGATCCGTTGGTGGGGAAATTCCACATTCCCAGGGCAAAAACCCACTTCACTGGTGACCTCTCACATAGTGATAGTTATTTCCTGTGCCTCGTTGGGATGATTCGCTGAGATTTGAACTAAAGCAGATCGTGAGGAGAACACCGCAAGCACTGTCACCACAGTGGCACTCAGGTGGATACATTTAACATTCATGAGAGTTTTTTTTTGGGTTAGATCGCGTAAATATATAAATGTGTCGTTAAAACCCGCCACCACCCGACACAGCCAACTAGTAAGGGTTGTCACGTAAACAGAACGTGGCCAATTCGTCACTAGTATAGCAACACCGGTGTGTTGGAGAGCCAAGCCACGACATTTACAATCTGAGTACGACGTTTCGCCAGTAATTACAATTAGCTTCATCAGGCGACAGCCAGATTTGTGGAGAAGTCTTAACTGTTTCGTTCCTTATATAGAGGCGTAGATGTGATGACCACGCTTCTGCGCTCTTGCGCAAAGTGGGTTGGGGGGATTACTGAGTTAACGTACATGATGCATGTGCATTATGCGAGCCCTTTGAACTTGTCCTTCCTGTCTATTGTGCGTATTAAAATAGCCGTACCAACGCTGCCCTTTGTAGGCATGCATTTAAATAATGTATTATTTGATGATTTGCTTCCACGCAGCACTAAGGCGGTAGCTATCCGAACGGTTAAAATAATTTTTATTTCTTTCAATTTCGATAGATTCTCTAATTAAATTAGTCTTGGCCAGTAGTAGCTAGTTTTGCACAGAACTTCAACATTATCAAAATCAATTGAGTGTTCTTGTTGGCACACATGTTCTGCTGCTACTGACAGTTGTATTTGGGAGAATTTAATATTTCTCTGATGTTTTTTTAGTCTCGTGCTGATCATTCGTCCTGTTTGCCCAACATAACATTTTCCACACGTGCAGTTAATCCTGTACACACATTCTGTTGTTAGCTTCGTTAATACATCTTTTGTACCAGATATTAATTTCTGTATTTTATGTACCGTGCCAAGAACATTATCTTCTTTTGTCGTATACAATAGGGTCAATGACTTAAGATTACGAAAATCAACAAATACATATTCACACATTTAATAATATCTGGTTATATTTGTTGCGGTCTCTATTCATGTACTTATTGTTAACTGGGCTAAGATCTTCTCGATGTACACAGGAACCAGGTTACATCTTAGGAGGGTGGGAGCGCAGAATTTTAATCCAGGACCTTGGTGCTGCTGGCTCAGTGGTATGGAGTGGGGGCGACAGCCTTAATTTCTTAATGAGCCACCCAGCCACCTCTTGGAGTGAACACTTCTCTTGAACATGCTCAGACCTACACGCGCATGCGTGTGTGCGCATGTACAGCGTGCCTCACCCCCAAGTGAATGAAACGAGCCTTTTATGAAATGGACCTTATCGAGATAAAAGCATTCATCACAATAAACTCCATTCATCAAAGCAACAAGTGGCTCACTGTGACCCTCGCAATTACGAACTCGAGTCACAGCGGGGCCGGTCAAGAACATCTATTTTTGGTCCCATTCACAGAGGCAGTGGAATTCCGGACAAAGGGACAATTCAGAATATGTGCTATGGATTTACTCTCTCCGCTAGATCCATGTTACGCCAGCAAGCCGCCGTTGCGTGAAACATTTCCTTGTCAAATGAGAATGCCACAGTGGATGGCATTAAAGTCGCGCATAGTCTGATGGGAGAGACACCCAATTATTCCTGGCATTCTGAAATCTACGGGCTAGGAGTTTTACTTCTCCATTGAAATGGAATAACCTGTACTTCCTCAGTGGGCCATTAGGCTGGTTTTAGAATTCACTCAGTCTCATTATTGCAGGGTGTATAGAAACCTGGTGTAGCCACCAAGCTAATCAGTGCAAAGTACCCAAGTGTACGTTTCAAACAGGCAGTTTTGCAGTGCTCATCGCCATCGGCAACACCAAGCTGGTGCTGTGAATGACACATGCCGATTGCAGGGGCCATTCTATCCATAGGATGACAACTGTTGGCTGAGTACTACAGATTGGTACCACGGAGTGGTACTCATTGCGATGTTCCTGAACGGATGCTAAGCTGAGTTGACCCTCTGCCAGGATTTGATCGCGCAATTTCTGTTCAGGTTGCAAGCCGAGCGTAAAAAAAAAATATTTTAAAGTTTATTTTAAATGTATGTTAAGGTGAATTATAATAGCCGATATTTGGCCCAAATTGAAAGTGAATACGATCTTGATTTGACGCTTTCGTGACTGCAGGAATTACTCTTTGGTTCTTTCAGTAAAGTCACGTAGAAAGAAAAGAATTTAAATAATAGAATACGACGTTTCGATTGCAACACAAGCAATCGTCATCAGGTAGAAAACAAACCTAGTAAACTTAGAAATACAATGTAATACAATACAGAGAGTTGGCTAGTACAACAATCAGCACCTTACCTGGTTGATTACGTTCTTCCAAAGATTGATAAATTTGAGAGACAAAACACAGACACGGGGACACACAGACAGACACACAAGCAGAGAGAGACAACACAGAGACACATAGAGAGAGACACATAACATAGACACACAGAGACCTCTGTGCCGAGGAAATTAGCATGTCAATGAGAGAGCTGTTTGGAAATCCACCTCATGGCGAAAGAACCAAAGAGGGAAACAATGTTTAATGCCACCACCCTATGCCTAACCACATGGCTATAAAGCTCTATTGCAAGTGCAGCATAGCTCTGGCACTTTGTCGCAGTATAGCCCTGCAGAGTTAAGTGCATTGTTGTGGGCTTGTGAAGTATTGTGGGCTCCTCATGTTGACGCCATGCACCTTACCAATCTTTCACCCGAGCGAGTTTTAACTGACAATTAGGCCTTGGCTCACATACTTTTTTGTAAGTCGGATGGGATGGTCCATAGGCTAGAGACATTGTTAACCAAGGGCAGTCGAGATCCCCTTGTCTGCAACGATGCATGGCAATGGGTCCACGCGCAATATGTTTTTCTGGATAAGAGGCGTTTCCCTCACATTGTTGAGCACGGATAATTTCTGCCACGTGCTCAGAGGCACTAATAGATACTGAGCACTGCCCCCGATTGGCTGTTTGAATTTAGAGAAGCATTGGATGTGATGTCCCTCTCATACTGGTCATGCTCTTGGAGGCAGGCCACTGCCATTGTTCGAACGGATGAGTTTTCAGCCATTGTTGGCCTGAATTCTGGTTTAATTTGATCGCTTCTAGCATGAGAGACAAAGTCCAATTCTAGACTTTGAAATGCGGTTACATTTCTTGCAAGTGCAGTCGTTGTTGCGCGGAGGGTTTAAATCACTTGCCTTATGACTTTCTCTATTCTCAAAGACAAAGATCCCCCATTTAGCCTTAACAGACCCGTTTGGGCAAGTGTTGTTAGCATGCATCTATCAAGCCCAGCACGGAACACAGAGTGGGTGGCCAACACCACACCTGCTCGCCTTTTTATCCCAAAGTGGTGATGTGTACATATTGCACGAGGTACTCATTTGAGGCTGAGTCGACTTAGGGGAGGCCCCTCATTGGTTCAGATAATTGTCACTGGTGTTGGTTGTGAACAGGAATCGAATGTGGGTCGCCGGGTTCATAGCGCAATGTAATCAACATTGAGATGAAGAATCATCATTCAACATTCTTCCAGAATTCGTATAAACTAAAACTAAACTTTTTTTTTAATCATGTGTTACCAGGTAAGGCCCACTGAGTTGTATAGCTCTTTTTCAGAAACGACCTGGCTACAAATAATATCTCAACGAAGCGACTTATCACGTGGAAATTTATCGCAGCCAAATACTTGAAGCACATGTTTCTAAATGCGGAGGGAAAAACTGGACGACCCAGAGAAAAATCCATGTGACCATGGGGAGAATATGCAGCTCCAAATATACAGGCGTCTAAGTTGGGATTGAACCAACGATCTACTGTATACCAGACGAAGCAATTCACATTTCGCCATCACGGCACCCACCGTAGAGACAGAAAGCCCTCCCCTGCATGTCAGGGGATGGTTCCGGAAGATTACAACGCATCACTACTTTCTAGGTACACTGCAGTAGGCCTCTCTGATCCACCACTGCGTGTTCCGTAAACGGTGGCCACCACAGATCAGTCATCTCTAGAGCAAAGAGGCTGAATAAATAGAAAATATATATTTTTAATTATTGTTACTTTCTGTATCCTTAGAAGGAATGCTGAGACCATCGACTTGGCTACAATTACGATTGGTTCAGTCATGGATTACCAGGGGCTGATATTCAAAGACGTGGCCTCATTGCTCTGACGTAGCCAATAT